TACTAGTTGTTATGAGCATCGATACACATCATACATCGATATCTTTTGATGTCAAATTACAAAAAAGTAATGTGTAAGATTTTTCCTGTCGTTTTTCTTCAATCTGTCTTCGTACTTTTATGGAAAGGGACGGAAGTATAATAATAACTACACACATCTCACTCACGGCAGTCTCGTCCCAAACTAGGCAGAGCCTGTACTATGGTAAGTGGTAACCAATCTGCTGATAAACATAGTTATAATATATGTCTAAATACATACATAGATTAATTACACCCAGACACAGAACAAATAATCGTGCTCACCACACACTAATTGTCCTGGGTGGTACTAAACCATACGTTTTGGTTTCGTACGGCCGTGTGGTGATTAAGGATTCGGCGTGTCACCACCACTATTCGTCCCATGGGTGTAGTAAGAGCCGACTAAGGGAGCAAACTACGCAGAACAACCGCACTGCAACGAGAATGAAAACTTGAAACAAACCCTATACCAACCCGTCTCTAGTCAGCGTGATATAGTAGGCGAAGACCTCCTTTCTAAGAAGAGGTCAATGTCCAGCAGTGGACTGTTAAAGGCCTATGATGTTGACACGTTTTGGTTCGATTCTATTTTAGAACTTAATTTAATTTAGGTTTTTGGATAATTGGAAAAAAAGTACATTTGTCAATGGCAGATTTAGTGGTGGCCGCCGTTGGGAACATAGCATTTATGGTCTAATAAAATAAATAAGTTGAGATTGTAATAAAACGTGTCCTTAACCTACAAAGGTTAAATAAGATTGTATTTTAATGCCACTGAAAGTAATTGGTTTATAGCATTGTGGCGCAACCCTAGAAGTGTCAATAATTAGTCGGGTTAGTGATGTAATGTATATATCGATAGAATAAAATAGATATCCGAAGCGTATTTGCAAGATGAAATTTAACTCATAGGAACGTTATCACAAACCATGTCACGGCCCTTAATCAAACTAAATAAATTAGGAGTTTACAATTACAGTAAAATGGATGCAAATAAATCTTTTGTACAAAAAAAAACTTGAAAGTAACTATTTACTTTAAATTTTTTAACCCAACAGTTTATTTTTTAAAGGATTTCAGTTTTAATGAATGAAATTGATAAATTTGTGAAATGTAATATTTTGTTTATTTTATTTTATTTATGTCATTTATGTATTAAATAATTTGGCTGTAAGCGGTTTCCCCAAGGATCGGTAACCGAAATAGGTACTCATAATTTCTAGAGTTAGAAAAATTCCGTCCAGTTAAAGGGAGTGAGCATTAGGTTTCATAAAATTCATACTAAAACAAAGAATTATTATTTCACGTCGCTTTAAATGGGGTCTTTGTGGTGCTCCCGTGGGAATAGAGTCCGGGACCTACTGGTAATAATTTTCTATAAGTTCAAAAAGAAACATCATTCTATCGGTTAAAAAAGGTGCTAGATCTCAATTGTTGTAAATATATTTTACTGACAGATTTGAGTAAAAGTAGAGTTATTATATTAGAAAAATACCTTGAAAAACACCCCACGCTTTTTTACGTTAAAATGATTTTTATTTTTGACCTATTTTTCCTACTTGGTTCGTTTAGCTATAAAAGCGTGTTTTTAGTTGTTTTTAAATATTATTATCTTGTTAAGACTAAAAAGTAACAAGTTTATCACTTGTGGTATAAGTAGGAACACGCCTTAGTACGTGGCAAAATACACTACCCTATTTTTAGGTTTAAAATAAGCCGTTAAACCTGTAGGTCGTGGTCAGCATAATGGGACAAACTATTTAAATAATTGCACTTTCATCGGTTCTTGATATAAGTACAAAGTTTCAATTTAATTGGACCTTCTGAAGTGCATCAAAATCACGTTCAAAGATTCCGTTACATATATACATAAAAAGCTAATAAAAGCGTGTTAAAAACCTTAATGATTATGAGGACCAAAAATAAGTGATTATTTATCGCTGGCAACACTCTCATTATAAATTTAATTTTTCTTTTTAATAAAATAGAGACCTGTCAAGTGATAAATTGTTTCCATGATGATGACAATAAAAAATAAAACTTTCAACTCTTCTCTTTGCTGTTACATTGGCAAAGAGTTCAAATGCCTCTATTCTTGTCACCTTTGAAAGTTTGATGACCACATTTAAAAAAAAAACTTTCTATCTTTGATCATTTGTCAGAAACAGGATCTTGTTACAGAACGGTGTCGATGTATTTTGTCGTTATTTTTATCGAAACGTTTACCGTTTCAAAGAATTATTAATAGCATGTTTTAAAAATACTAATATGCCAACAGTTTCTTTTGAATTTAATACTCGTATATATTGTGTTTAGGTTTTCACTTTTCGTTTATCTAGCTATAACCGAAAGCTTTTAAGCTAAAGACTTGTCTTTTCAGTTAAATTTTGACCTATATTTCAAGGTCAGGATGAGAAAATATTGAAAACTAGCTTTTGCACGCGGCTCCGCCCACGTAAATGTCGGTTATCTTAAAAAATAGCATATTTCTTTCCTCAAGAATCCAAGTATCTCCATACCAAATTTCATCTTAATCCGTTCAACGGTTATTGATTTCCCATACAAACTTTCACCCCCGTAAAGAATGCTTTCTGGAATAAAAATGTTCTTTAAAAAACCCTATGTTTTTTCCCTGGATTCGTACTATCTCTACACCAAATTTCAACTAAATCGGTTCAGCGGTTTAGGGCGTAAAGAGGCAACAGACAGACACACTTTCGCATTTATAATATTAGTACTTATGGATATGCATAGAAAGTATTTCTAAAAGAGGTCTGTTCTAAGAATCTGTCCCGTTGTTACATTCCCAAGGACGATTAATAACAGGCACTCGCTTAAACAAAAACATTCTTTTTTATTACTACAAAATTAAAACTACATATTTCGTAGCAGCCATTTGCAGTGGCTATTTATTCACGTACACGCCAACTATTACAAGGACTGTACGTAATCTCCTTGACATGGCTCGCGTGACAAGCCTGTTTTAGCGATTTAACAGGTTCAATAGTATGCCGTGTAGATTTCTATGGTACCCTAAGCTTTCTCAGCCATTTTGTCATGTACCTAATAAACGAAGGTCACATGTCATGTTTGACATGCTTAAAATAGAGCCAGACTCGATAAGGTAGGCAGATTAAAAAAAAACTATACTTACTAAAGATTAAAAGTAACAGATTAAAAATATATTACTAAATTAAAAACCCAGATTAGTATAAATGAGTTAGTTACACCTTTAATTTGGTTAATAAATAAGAAATAAAACATTTTAAAACTGAATAAATTTATGGCAGCTTACCTAACTGGGCCCTATCTCAGGGAAAGCCAGTGGCTTCTCCCTGCCTTATTAGCCTATCCAGATGTTCACCCGCCAGCATGGCAGCAATGATTGCGGGGCAGCCAATTTGGTCGACCAGGACTTCGCGTTCAGACGCCCACGCGGGATAGTCTTCCAGCTTGTGTTGGGCGGAGTCCCGGTCGCTCGCTCAGTGCTGGCATTGTGCCGTCTTCTCCTATTCAGGTACACCTGCATCAGTCGGTAGATGATGCGACCGCCCTCCCTACCTACCCAAGCTTTGAGGTTAGGCAAATGGATAGCAGGTTGGCGCGGTTTCCGCGGCAGTTACAACCGCGCTCGCCATTGCGCCAGTGCCTGTCGGTGAGCGTTCCGTCTCATTTCGAGCTCGTCCTGGTCGTCCCCGCTCTCAGGATATCAAAAGGCGGGAAAATTGAAAAGACTGTTGCCGCCTCCGATGAAATCGTGCGGTAAATCCGAATGGCCGCTACCCGATGCGCTTGATTGAGCTTAGCTCGGCAGCGGGAGGAGGCCGATAGGCGCTTGGCCCATATCGGCGCTTCGTAGAGGGCTATAGATCGTATCACCGCACAGTAGAGGCGGCGAACTTCCTCCCGCGGACCCCCTAGATTAGGCAATAGACTTCGCGAAGTCGGGGGATCATCCGCTCGCAATGCTCCTCGAAGCTCCAGCGGCTGTCCAGAGCGAGGCCGAGGTATTTGATGTGCCGGTCGATGTCGACCGCTGTTTCCCCACTCTAATAAGCGAACGGGTGGGATCTGCACCTCTGCGTTTCCTATGGAACCACAAGGCTTCCGTCTTATGAGTTGCGATCCTTAGACCCAAACCGCTGATCAGTGCAAGTTTATTTCGTTCCGTTCGGAATCTTGACCAATCGCAGTCAAGATTTTAATGCGGGCCAATAGCAACGTCGAAAGCGGTCATCGTGACGGTCGAGTCGATGTAAAATAAACTCGCACTAAGGCCTGAGAGCGTGACAAAGAAATGTACATACATATATACAGTCGAACCCTCTTTCTGACGCAGTAGGATCAAAATACAGCTTATTAAATTATAATTTATCATGACGTTATGTGAAAAGAAATCTTTAATACGTTTTTAGGTCAATTTTTCTGGAATTGAAGACAATTTTGCTAACATATACAATTTTATTGGAGAACTAGTCATTCGTAATGTTAGACATTTAAGTTAGACCTCGAATCAAAATGAAACATTTTGATTTGGGATCCAACTTAAATGGCTTGAACTTAAATTGGATGTAGAATTATAATAATACCGCACACATCTCACACACGGCCGTCTGATCCCAAACTAGGCAGAGCCTGTACTATGGTAACCAGACTGCTGATAAACATACTTATATATTTTTAAATACATAAATATTATAGATAAATAAATAATGAACGATGGACTTTGCAGCTAGCTATAATAGAATGTTTTTAAAATCTTTCTGCTGTTTTTTTTTTTTAATAATTCCTTACAAACAAAAGCCAAAAATTCTAAGTTTTGTCACTATTACACATCGATCTAAAATCGAACGTTCGGAATAACCATCCGTATCCCCAATTAGACCACAGAACATCCTCAAACCCACCACAGATTCATGACCTTCTTCTTCGTTAAACGAGTACACATACAATAACAAGTGCCTCTAATGTCCTCAGCTCGAACAATATATTGCTACGAATGTGACAGCTGGACGGATCCTCGTTGCAAGGATCCCTTCAACTACACCGCACTGCCCAGAGACCAGCCGCCGCTGCAGACGTGTAACGGTTGCTGTGTCAAGATGGTCCGGTATTCTAAGAGTCGTGAGTATGATTTTTTTTACACCTCATTAATGGCGAATAATCAAAGGAGGCCAGGCCACGAAGCTAAGTAACCTTACCCAGGTCAGTCTATGAATGGGTGATCACTCTTAACACATCGAGACCCCTTCGTGCCTTGGAGAGCACATTAAGCCATTGGTCCCAGTTGCCATACAAATATCTGTGGCAATAGTTACGGATAATTGGAGCTCTAAAAAGTCCGACAACAATGTTTCTACAGAACTTCGATATCGCCTAGTACTTGGGTTCTGGAAGTCTGATAGCAGTTGCTCAGCGTAAAAAATCGATAGTACATTTAAAGTTGAACCCAACCTAGTTTGCAAAAAAGGCTCGGAGGAAGATGTCAATGTCGAATAATTTGGTCCCCTCTGATGGTTAGCAATTATGAAATTCTAGCTTCTGCAGCTTGAAACTCCAGGGTGTTGATGACTCATTAAAAACTGTACATCACTCGGGTATTACATTGAGGCTGACTGGATAGGCTGAGGGTGTCAGCCTGTGATCACGGCCAGTGCAACCTGATCAAAACTTCGGCTGATTCGAAGATAAGTATTACTATAAAGTGATCGCGTGTATGAACGTGCACGGATGGCGTAGTGGTTTAAGCGGTCGCCTACGCCAAGTGTTGTTGGTTCAAACTCCACATGGGACGACACTTTGTGTTATCCACAAATTGTTGTTCTGAGTCTGGGTGTTCTTTGTATCCGTTTCATGTATGTTTGTAAAGTCCCCCGCCACACTGGATATATTCCTAATGCGGGCGTTGTCTTTTTATTAAAAAAATAATAATTATTATTATACTCGTATACGCGAAAGTATAAACTTTACTTACTTACCTTTACCTTCGACAGCAACTTCGGAGTAAAATCTTTTATCTGCCCTTTTCCAAATTTTATTTGGGGTTGATGCAATGTGGAATATTTGAAAGAGTTTTGGCTGTTTTTATGCTAAAAGAACGGAACCGCGGGACGCCAGAGAGTGGGGACCTCTGGTGGCAGATTAATTGCTGCGGTAGGGGATAGGATGGTGGCCTGATGAAAGAATGAGATCGGGCCGCAACATCTGGATAGGCTGATAGGCAGGGAGAAGCCACTGGCTTCCACTAATATAGGGCCTATTTAGGTGCGGCGTCGATCTGGGGGAGGCCTGAAATCACATGGCCCGGGTTCTCCCTAGAGCAGGGCGCCTGAGGCTGGCCGTCAGGGGGGTTTTTAGTGGAAACACCACATACTCCTAGCTCCTATATCCCCAAGAAGCAGGATTTTCCACCCCGTCCCCAAAAGAAAAAAGGGGGTAAATGAGCCGACGGGTCAACTGATGGAAACTGACTACCGCAACTCAGGAGGCACAAGCGCGTTACTGATCTTTGAGGTGAGACGTTATTTTCGTTCCTTTCATGACTGCTATACGTGAACCCAACTCAGAGATCTGGGCACGCGGCGCGGTGTCAAGCCAAGTTCGAGGCAAATTTTAATATTAAGCTTGACTCCCAGTTTCACCTTTATGTTTTTGATGGGACATTTACTTTTCCCGACGGAACTAAGGACTATACCAACCCGTCTAGCCAACGTGGTATAGTAGGCCAAAACCTCCTTTCTAAGGAGAGGCCTATGTCCAGTAAGTGACTATTAAATGCTGATGATGAGTAAGGAAAAAGATAAATATTTGAAGTATCTTTCCGGAAACAAGATTGCTTTTAGGAACCTGCGAACGCCCCACGAGACTTTTGTTCTTCTAGAAGGAACTAGGTTGGCACATCTAGCTAACCTCATCCCACACTAATAAATCATTAATCCCCTCCCCTCTCCCACCACATTTTTTTTAATATGAAATTTTTATTTCTATTTCAGCGTACGAGGTTGTCCGACGCACCTGCACATCACAACTCCAAATAAATTTGTTCATGGTGGACCACGTGTGTATGATGGAAAGTACTGGAACAGGCCACATGTGTTTCTGTGAAGAAGACATGTGCAATAGTGCGCATACGCCGTTCGCAGCACTGGCCTTGGTTGCAACACTAGTTGCATGTGCATGTCTGAGGTGAAGTAGGCATAGTGACTGCCCAAAAGCGGTCGGTTGTCGATAGACGATAATAACCAGTGATTATAATCACTTAGAAATAAATTGTGTAGTGTTGAATAGACGTTATTGTCATATATTACATTATATGTCGTGGTCTAAAAACAATACGCGTTTATCGACATCGATCAAGAGTGTGCGTCAGCCCTACAGTAGTGATGTGGAAGCGTATGATATCGATGAATCGACAATCGATCGACTGTACTTTCGGGCCCTACCCTAGCTGAGATTTAATTACATTTTTCGTCCAATAGTAGCCGTAGAATAGTCTATGGTGCTTAGTTTTTACAGCACGGCAATGAATAATGTTCTTGTTGAGACGCAACGAATATGCTTAGCTTGAACTTTTAAAATCAGAGTAAGTTAATACATTGTAAAAGCTTCCTAAACTCAGCCATAAATTTAAGACTTCAACATTCTTGTTCCATTTCATAGACAATTCTCATGATTTTTATTTCATATAGGGCATAAGCTTTCAGAAATTTATTCCTTAGATAGATACTCACTATATTTAAATTGTAAGTTATTACATTAAACCCGACACCAATAGCAAAAGGCATTAAGCATACGATATAAACATTACTACCGTTTACATCAATAGCAAAATAAGCGCAAATAAAATTTTGAAATCTAAACGAAATTCCATATTTAAAAAAAAAGACCCAATGATGACATCTGTCAAACATTTTTTTTTCTTCATCGTATCGAGTTTTCTATCTCGATTTATACAGTGTTTTATTAAACCAGTCATAAATACTCGCTATTAATCAACCTCATAACATAAATGAAACCTGAGAATTGGGGAAGTCTTTAGAATAAAACATTGTTACATAAAAAAAAATATATAGTGACCATCTTAAAGCTTTAAACGATGTGTCGTCAAAACTAAGCACAGATCTTTAAGACCATTTTCATGTTCAACAGTTTGGTCCTAATACTAATATTAATAAAGTTTTCCTAAATTTAGCATGTATATACTGCTCAGTATAGACGCGTTAGATCGTAAACGGATTCAGAGCGTGTGAGTGCCTTCACTAGATGGCGCCAGGGACTGTCAACCGTTGAATTTAAAAATAAATGTTATATGTACACTAGCGCCATCTAGTTGGAGTTTCGAGTTACTAATTCCTCCTGCGAGCGCTTCTGATTGGTCCAATTATCGACCAAAAATATATTTGCTCATAGTTGCACCTAATATTAGAAGTGGGCACTGTAGATAGTAACGAAATGCTGAATATTGGGAAGAAAACTAGCGTCTACTGCCGAAATATAGAGATAATAAATAAGTATCAGTTTGGTGATATCAGTTTTCGAGGTTAGCGTTAGAATACGGTTGTGTTTTTATTGTCTACTGAAAGACTTAGAAAATATCAAATGTCAATTCAGTTTACGATTTTTTAACTTGCGGTTTCCGTGGATATTTAATTATGTATATACAGGGGAATAAGGCGATCACAGCGTGACCACGAACAGTGCAACCTGGTCGAAACTTCTGACAATATAAGATTACCTAGTAACTGTTATGTGATCACCTAAATTCCCACATATAAACATAATTAGATAGCGTACGGTTTTATTAAATTCTTTTTAGTATTATTAAACGTTTATGATTTAAAAGCTAAATTAAAAAGATATTATCACATAATTTATCGATAAATTTAGTTCGTTGGACATCACTACGCGAGTTGAAAATAGTGATGCGAAACATGTTTACAATCGATTTAAAATTTATTGTTAATTAATTTTAAATAAATTAAGTTTAATACCGAATTAAGAACCTAAATCATTTGCTCCATTTGTTTTCATGATCTGCGGGTGACATAGATTATAAAAAATAGTTAAAAATATGCTAGACTTTAGTCGCAAAAATTTTATAATTCTAATATAATGAAAATAAATAATTTTATGAAATTAAACACCAAATACAGTATAATCGTTAATATTAAGTTTTAATTATAATATTAGAAGAGAATCAAAAACTTGTAAGTGATAGAAATGTATCACTACGGGGTAAAATGTGATGATTAAACACTAAAGCGGCTTTAAGCGACACGAATCGTTGATTTCGCTTAAAGGTTTGCTACAAGTCGCGTTTATATTATTGTAGATAATGAATATAACTTAGTACAAATAATATATTTCAGCGTAATTATGCTAGACACATATAAAACTTCGCTTTATAGAATGTGACATGTCAAAATGTAGGTATGGTACTGAATATATTATATTATTTTTAATATACGTTATTTTGATGGCGATAGTAATTTTGAAGTCGATAGTCATTTTGATGGCTATAATTATTGCTGATTTAGGCCTCCCGCTGTTACAATTTTAGTCCCATTTCCCATATGAGACTTGCGCCATATTTTTATCGCCCAAGCCCTATTCGCTTTTTTTTGCCCCAGATTATCTTCTTTCAACCTGTCTGAAAATAATTAATATCCCAAGGAGGTTTGGCGTCAGTCAGGCGGCCGGCCATTATAAACCTCTGAGCTTTCCAGCCACCAGAGCCATCAGACCTCCACAACCCAAGTACTAGGCGATATAGAAGTTCTCTAGAAAGACGTAACGATTTCTATAGATGTTCTTATGGCAACCATAAACAAAACAGTCTCATCAACAGCCTTTACTAATCCACTGCTGGACATAGGCCTCTCCTTAGAAAGGAGGTTTTGGCCTACTATAATACGCGGGCCAGTCGGGTTTGTATAGGGTTAGTTTCAAGTTTTCCTTCTGTTTGCAGTGCTGTTGTCCTGCGCAGTTTGCTCCCTTAGTCGGCTCTTACGACACCCACAGGATAAATAGGGGTGGTCACCACACGGATATAAATATAAACACATTCTAATCTATAGTAATCCCCGCGCGACCCTTTATAAAGTTAGTAATGCAAGGAAATTAAGATAAATTAATTTATTTACAAGGTATTTTTATCTATATATATATATATATATATATATATATATATATATATATATATATATATATATATATATATATATATATATATATATATATACATATATATATAGATAAAATATAAATTCGTATAAATTCTTTTGACAATATAGGGTATTTAGACCAGAATAAACTGCTAGAAAATACAGAATGAGGTAAAGTTAAGTTGAATTCTATTGTTTTAATTTGGAGTAGGTAAACATCTGCACTAATGCCGTTAAATCCTAAATTTACACTGAATACCCCTTATTAACTCTATACCAACCCGTCTGGCCAGCGTGGTATAGTAGGCCAAAACCTCCTTTCTAAGGAGAGGCCTATGTCCAGCAGTGGACTATTAAAGGCTATTGATGTGATGTGTTTCATTTTATGTTATAATATTGCTGTAGCGTAGGTCCTGCTTGAAACCAGAGACAATTTTTAAAATATTAAATGTCTACATTATACTTTGCAACGTCTTCGAACTCCGATTCTTGAAAAACAGGCAAGTGGGAATCTATGTAATCTGACTCGCGCAGAGATCGTTGCTCTTGTATATGAGTAGTGCTTTTATTTATGGTAGAGGGGGCAGACGAGCAGACGGGTTCACCTGATAGGAAGCAACTACCGCCGCCCATGAACGTCTGCAACTCAGGAGTCACAACCGCGTTGCCGGCCTTTTAGGTAGGAGTACGCTCTTTTCTTGGAGTTCGTCCGTTTTGGAATAAAAGGCCACAATATTTTTGTCCGTTATTCCCTACTATCAAACTTAAAACAGCCTTTTTAAAACAAATTCTCCGTTATATCATTAATTTTGAAATAAAGAAAAAAAATTGGTAATTCCAAAAAAAAAGTTTGTTTTTCGATTTTTTACAGTCGATTTTTTTTACTTTACTTGCGTTGATATCACTTAATTGACGCCAAATTCCATGGGAAGACCCTTGTTTATACCCTATACCCTTAGTGATTTACCAGCGAAGTATTAAAATTCGTATTAAAATTAACGAAACTCAAAGTCATACTAAGTATTTGAAATTAATTGCAACTTAACGAGAATAATCATCTCTCTTTATGGTCTTGACTGACAACAAAGTTAATTGTTAATTCAAACAGTTTTGTTTTATATTATTAAAAAAAATGATATAACTATGTTTGACGTCATAACTCATTATTCCTTTTGCGTATACCGTATTGACATTTAATAATGAGGGGATTTGACTTCACACTCAAATAATAATAATATAATAATAACATTTATTCACTCAAAAAGTATGTACAAATTACAGTATGCTACTCTTCAAGATTCTAAATCCAAGCTATCCCTGTATTTTGGAGATCAGTGTTCTGCTGTAAGAAAAAAAAAATCAGGTAGATCGATGCTCACTTTTACAATTTTATGAACTTATTAAACAGAAATATCACAATGGTGCTAATTTTGTTCGAAAACTCTCTAAACTAAACTAAAAATCACTAAAAACTTGTTTAGTTCTGTCAAACAACGTTTCCTATTCTGAAAACGTAATATTTGACAATACAACATTTTTTTTAGTGATTTTTAGTGTAGTTTAGAGAGTTTTCGAACAATAAAATTAGCACCAATGTCTAACTATGTCTAGTACAGTATGTTTATGGCTTATAATATTAATTATACATTTTGACATGTCACATTTTACGAAACGCGTTACTCAAAACGGCCCTCATACAAATAGTCGTATCCTGAGGTGGTTACGGGTGCAATATACAAAGAGCAAGATTAGTGATAACGTTTACTAGTTATTTAGAACAACCGTAGTTGTGATTTTTATAGTAAAGTTACGGAAGTGAGAACTTAAAAGCAATATATTAGAAGAAATATCAGACGAAATACAAGAACTAACCTCTATCTTGTAAAATAATATTGTTTTCAACGTTCATCTTTGTTCTCTATTTGAGTGTAGTTTTGACAGCAAGGCATAGTCAATAGACTTTTGTTTGTTTTTTATCATGATCAAATTCACAAAAAAAATACAGCTATCACGAACGATATGTTAA